ATAAGTTAATGAGCATTGCGCGCACACATGTTGCTAGGTTGCTTGGTTGCTTTGGGCAGGGGGTTGTTGGGGGTTAACTAAGTAAACTTAAAACTCTGACTGATTGGATTTCTGTAGAAGGGAAACAGCTCACAGTGGGGCTAAATTGCGAAAACCGCATGAGTGAACGATGAGTGATGCTGTAAAGAAATGGCTGAAATATTTCAAATACGAACACTAAATACACTTGCCAGCCAGTTAGCTGAACTATTTTATTTTATTTATTTCAAAATTACTATTTTAATTTTTTTTTTATTTAATCTTATTTCAATTTACTCTTGTTATTTATTTTTTTTCAACTTCACTGGCAGCACTACTATTTCTATGAACAGCCGATTTTCAATGCATTTCTCGAAAATGGTCAAAACTAAATTAAGTCTTTTCTGTGAATTCTGTTTTAAACTAAAAGTGGATATAATTTTATTTTTCAACCAAAAAAAGACCTTCATTTAGCTTGTTTTTTTTTTCTTTATAGTGCGGCACTACTATTTTTATGAACACAACTGAATATATTAAACATTTCAGTAAGATTAACTAGATTTTGAGTGGCTTTTCAAACCACATTTTGCAAAAACGAGTTCAATAATTTAGTCTAAAGCTAATTATTCAAATGGAAACGAGCTTGTGATTTATCTAGCCTAAGTTTGTAGCTCTTCTTTTTAATTTGATAATTTTTTTAAACACGTTTATTTGTCAAATTTAAACACCTTCAGTGAGTGTATTAAAATAAAATTATGCACTGCGTGTGTGTGAGTCTATAATGATGATAGCAATAATAATGATGATGATGACGAAACTGTTTCCACAGCGACAACACCTGCCTTTGGATTTGAGTTTGACTTTGCAATGGCTGGCGGTGTCTTTGGTGGTGGTGGCCGTGGTGACGGTGGCGTCGGTGTCGGTGGTGGTGGTGGTGGTGATGTTTGCAGACGACAACTTGACATGAGAGTGTTGTGCTGCTGACTAGAAAATGGCATTTTAGGCGGAGTGAAAGCCACCCAGTCAGCCCGTCAGCTATGTTTCTCGACTTGGCAGTAGTCTGCACTTGATGTTTGTTTTTCCTGTTGCCTGCCATAAACGGAGAATGAAAAAAACTCCGCACGTCTTCTCTCATATGACTACGATGAAAATTGACGTATAAAGTCAACGCGACCGTCAACAAAAGTCTCTCAACGCATGACAGCATTTTTAAGGCCGAGATGTCAGCATTTCTCTCTCTTACAAATTCGTACTCCCAGCCATCCATTACAGTCCATACCATGCCATACAGCAACAACATCATCACCATCATCATATGACCCCCGCATGTGTGTGTCACGTACAGCATTTAGCATTTATTGTGCCGCTTCATGAGTTTCTTTTTGCCTTTTCTTTTTTTGCTTTGTAAGACACAAAAAAAAAAAATCAATTGGTTTTTTCTTTTCTCTTCTCTATGTGTGGAATAACAATATAGAGGTGTAATATCAAAGGGCAACAACTGTTGGCAACACAAAATTATTGTTATCATGATGAGGCCACAAATGCTGTGCGCCACAAAGCAGGCAACAGTTTTTGGCTTTATCATAACTTGATTAGAGAGCCAAAGAGATTCAGGTGTCGCAGCTTACCTAATAGAGACTTATTTGGACCAATTTCGAATGTTTTCGTTGAGCGTTGAATTGCTTTTTATCTATCATTTTATAGCTACATAATTTTAATGAGAAATTCCATTTAATTGCCAGCGAAAGATGTGCAAATACGTTTCCTTGGCCCGCATATTAAGTTTTTGTTATTATCGTTCTCTGGAAATCTTATAAATTTCTACACAGAATGCACGTTTAGTTGGAAAAAAACCCGCATATGCAATTCATTTTCTTTGCCATCATGATTAGAGCGAGACAGGGAGAGCGTGTGTGAGAACTATGGAGCTCTCACTTTATATCTTGATGATTTGTGGCGCTGTTTTTCTCATTGCCAGGAAATTAGAGAATTGGCACACACACACACACACGCGAGCAATTGTGCTGTGTGTGTGTGGAAAGCTAAAAGAAATTAGAAAGCAAACCGGTTGCCAGTCAGTCTTGGCATTTATGTGCGAGTTAATTAAAACAAAACTAGTTACGACGCTGCGTTGCCTTTTTTTTAAGTTTTTGCGCTCGTCTAGAGAAAAAGTCATTAAAAGCTGATGCCAAGTGCGCGCATACAGTGCGTATGATTGATAATGAGTTTTGCAGACGCTGTTGCAGGAGTTCGAGACGTGGTTGTTGTTGTTGAAGTTGGAGTCACAATGCCAATACGATGTCTACTGACTGCTCAGATAGATGTCTTCATCTTGGCTCTGGGCGCTGTGGCATGCAATGCAAAGAATTTACAATGCTTGTAACGGAACTTATTATTTCATTGCCCCCACCTCAAGCTGCTCGTTCGCTCGTTGCCTGGCGGCTCTCTGCTGGCTGCTGGCTGCTGGTGCCTGCTGTCTCTGTCCGTGTCTGGCAATCTGGCAGCTCACAGCATGCGGCGAGCAAAAGGCAACCGCCAACCGACCGACAACTCTGAGCTGTCGTCTTTAGCGTATTCTGGTCATGTGTTGTGTGCTGTCTCAGCCTCAACGCAACCTCCGGTTCACACTCCCATAGAGCCACAGATGACAGACCATTTATTCGCCCGCGTGTGTGTGTGCCCTGCCTGAGCGGGAATCAAACTCAGTCTTATATTTTTCTACTTTTTTATGGCACAATTGTCATACCTGCACCGCAATTTGTACGGAAACATTGAAAGCTGGCAGCATGGCATTCAAGCAGTTATGTTAGTTCAAATGTGAAATATGCATGCAATTGGTTTAGTTTAACATTCCTAATTTCTGTGCCATTTGTGATTCAGTTGTGTTGTGTTGTGTTTGCTATTCCAATGCCTTATGATGAATTCGCCAAACTTGCGACACGCTGCCAAAAACTTTTACGTACTTTTTCCTTCGTTTGATAGATGAAATTCTATGCTTTCGAATATATTATGTACAGCTGGCGGGGCAGTGGTAGGTAAAACATGAAAACTTAATGCATTAGTTGGACACAACTGTCGAAAGTTTATTGTAAGGCTGCAGCCATGTCCTAAAAGTCAATTCTTAAAGTTGGCAAATGGATTCGTATGCTAAGATAACATAACTATGGCTATGAGTTGGGATATGCTAACAAAGTTCAGCTCTGACAGCAGCCATGTGAGCCTGATTTCAAAGGTTGTGCCTTAGTTTGCCTCTGTAGAAGTTTGTTTGCTTTAGTAAACTGAATGAATTAATTTTTCAAATAAACTCTTTCTTTTGGAGACAGGATTCTTGCATTAATTAAGTCAGAAATTGCTTTTTCATATTTAAATTATTAATATTATTAATCGTATAAACAAATATTTGACAACTGCAGCTGCTAAATTATATATATTAAATACATAATAAAACTTCCAATATCTAACTGAAAATATTGATATTTTTGCATAGTTGAAGCACTCAAAATTTGATCTCTCGTCATAATGTCTATCTAGCAAATGTGCTTAAAAATATCTTAGATTAAATTATTTTACATATATGCTTAAGATCTGTCCAGTTGTGTGTTCGAAAGCTCACATAGTTGTATTTTATTTTGGGAAAACTGCATTCAAATTCCATAAATAAACTTTACAATAAGTTTTTAATATAAACTTTAGTTGTTAAAATAAACTTTAAGTACTTGTATATAAGTCAGTTCCCTTTGATATTTATGGCAGTCTGTCGGGTGTCCTCTACTCTATTAGCTTGGAAGGCGACTGTTACAAGCTGTTGCAGTAGTGGGACTGTCACACCTGGACAGCACAATAGATTTGCATATTTACAAACAAAACATGGAAAATATTCATGCAAATAATTGGGCGTGGCAGCAGCTGGGGCTGGTGGGGCTAGAGGACTGGCTATCAGTGACTGTCTTGCTGCTGGGCCGAGTATCATGTCAATGTAAAGTGCACGCGGGCAGCCAAATTATGCGCATTTATTTAGTAGTTAATGCTTTTTACATTTTGCGAGCGACCCGCATAAGTTGTTTTTCGCAACAGAGATAGAGGAGGGAGATAGATAGACAGAGGCTATGCTATGCTATCTCTAGACTGAGTTGCCGTTACATGGGGAATTAGTGCGCATAATTTCATAAACAGCAACAGCAACAGCAACAACTGCTGGAGAAGTTGTTGGCAGCCATCGCGTTGGCCTGTGCAAATATTTTGGAGCCCTGTACTCGCCGCCCGCGTCTCCTTGGGGAAATGTTGTTTGCTGCTGCTGGCAAAAAACATTCAGAATCACATGCGAAGTCTGCATATACAGCTATGCTGGGAATTTGCTGTGTTCTCTTACACGAAAAAGTAAGCGAATGAATAAAAAAATATTAAAAAGATGAAGAAGAGGAAGAAACAACTCTGTGTATGCTGTATATCTGTACTAAATTGCACATGAAGTGATTTCGAGCGTAAGAAATGCCTTGGCTGAGGCTGGGGCTGGGGCTGAGACTGGGGGCGCAGCCATCGATAATATATATATATATATATATATATATATATATATATGTGAACACTCTGGCTATATGTCCCAAACGAACGGTGGAATATGCATATAAAATCTTGGCGCAGTTTCAAAGTTGTGTATATATGTATAAGTGCGTGTGTGTGAAAATGTATAAAAACACATTTCATATCAAAATTACAACAACGCACACGATAGTAGCCGCCTTATGATGAACGAGGCATGCTGGGACTTCTGTTGGTGTTGCTGTTGTTGAGCAAAATGCCGGAAGTCGGAAAAATGCCCCGAAAGTTGACTTGAGTCAAATTGACTGAGGAGCAATTTGATTAAATACATTGCGGGCATTTTGCATAAAATAAATTAGCTGTTTTTTAAGTTATTATTTTTGAAAAGTATTTCAAGTGCGTATATTCATTGTCTTTCTCTCTCTCTCTCTTTCTCTTTGCAGTGCAAAAACTAAATACAAACGCTAAGCAACAGTATTTTTGCTCAACATTAATATAACACTAAGCATAATATACTAGAAACTCTATGCAAAATCTATCTAGCAGTGATTAAATGTTGCATTTTTAAGTCGAAGGAAAACCAAAAAAAAAAAAAAAAAAAAACAAAAGGAAAACAGAAAGCCACAAGAACGCAGCGAGCTTAAGCCAACAAAAAAAGTAAATAAATAAAAATAAAAATAAAAATAAAAAGTAGTACGATTAGTAAAAGACACCACCAATTTAATTTGAAAAGAAACTACAACAAAAAATAAATAAAAAAAAAGAAAAGAAGAAAAAAACAAAAACGATTAGCCAAAAATCAAATAGATGTCCGTGTGCATTATATTTTGATCGTATATGAACAGTATATTGTACATATAGCAAGTATATATATCAAATATATATATATATTTACAACTTTAGCCATAAATCGCAGCTAAAAGACAAACAGTTAAATAACAAGAATAGAGAAAATAAAGACCGCCAATCGGTCAACATCTCGAAGATAATTAACAATATAAAAGACAGAGCACAGAGCCGCATAATATAAAGCGAAAGCAAACACAAACACAGAAACAAACACAAAAACAAAACAACAAATAATAATGGAGGACAATAACACAAGCAGCAGTGCGAGCGGTGCGCCCATCAAACTGGAGGATCCATCGGTGACACTCACAATAAGGCTGATTATGCAAGGAAAGGTGAGTCGAATATGAAGATTTTATTACCATAATAATAAACATATATATGAAAGTAATATATTGAGTTAAGTAAAACTGTTTGGGTAAGAGTTTTAACAGTGGCGAGCTTCAAAGAGCTCTACAAGGGTTGACGAGCTTTAATATAATCGTAAAGCTTTGGCATAGACTTGAAATTGAATCAAGTCTTGCAGCCTTTAGGAGAATTTAAGCCAGGGCAGAATTGAATAAGTTTTATAACTGCTGAAGAGCTTTGATATAGTCTTAGAATTTAAAGAAAAAACTTGATACTAAAAACTTATTGTAAAGGTATTTACAAGAGACTTTTAAGTTAGTCTCAGCTCTGTGCTAGCTTAGCTAAAGCCTCGAAGCTATTATGGAGTTAAAAGCTTAACTAAAGTCTTAAAGCTGACAGCTGAGTAAATTGGTTAAGCTTAAAATTAATTTATATATAGAATTTTAGAAATGTTTTTTACATTTCTAATAAGGAATTCCGTTCAACGTGAGTAAAATAAGCTGATGGCGTCGAAAGTCTCTTGTCAATCTGTTCACGTGCCGAGAACTGGCTCAACGTAAAAAGGGATAATATTTGTGTTGCCTTTCGTTAGGTTTCGCAACTTTGTAAATGGGTATTCTTAGGGCAGGTGTAAGTCTTAATGCGTTCCATTGAATTATGTCGTTTTAAAATATTTATAGAAATACCCCGAAAGCTCTCAGAGCCAATCAAATGCTGCAGAGTGACAGACAGAGAGAAGGGGAAAATGCAAATAGAATCACAGGCGGCGGCAGTTTAAATGAAAAGTAATTAAAATTATAAATTAATGCGTGAATTTTGTATGCAAATTCAAATTAAACACGCCACACTTCACGCATTATTACAAACCGAAGAAGAACGACAAAAATATAATATATTTCATATTGTATATATATATATGCAAAATACGAAAAACATTATTTAAAGTCATAAAATGCGAAGCAAGCATCGGCTGTTAAATAATCATTACAACTCGCAAATATTGTGAGTAATAAAAATAATGCAAGAAAAAACACAGAAAGAAACACATCAATAAATGTCATAAAAATAAATACTGAAATGCAACAGAACAGGGAGGTGAGCTGATACTTATATAAACATGTATATATATATAATATATGTATTTGCTGTATATCAACCAGTTTCATCATAAAACGTATATATCAATTATATATGTGCCTATGGAAAAATAAACGAATATCATTCATAATTAAGCTTTTGTTTATGTAAAGCAAGGACAACATGAATTGCAGTAGTGTTAATGCAAATAACGTAAAATAATATTGAAGAGGAGCAATTAGGGACGCATTGATAAATACAGCTCATTAAAATATATATGTAGAACAAATAAAATATTGAGCATTTAAAGAAGTGAGAAATGAGTGTGGAAGTATTTATTCATTTATATATTTTGTTGCCATTTTCAAGGATTAGTTTGTTGCACTTGTATAATAAGCAGCTCAGCACGGATGTGACGGTGTCTTTCAGTCGGATACTCTCAGCTAGAGGCTAGTCTAGCTTCTTCTACATATACTTACATACATACATATAAAAAATAAAATAAAATACATTTTTAAAACAATTTTCTACAATCCAAAAATTATAAAAGGGAACTGAGTTATTCAGAAAGTGGAGTATCACTTATATTGTACACAAGTATTGTGTTTTAAAATCTATAAATAAATGATATGTTTCGAAAGACTGATGCCTGCTTGAGTTGAAAGACCAACGTTTGTAAATATCCGAATCTTTCGCTCTTCTATTTGTCAAAACTCTCACTTTCATACAGACACTAAAGACTTCATCTCTTCATCTCCTCAACATTAATATATAATATATATGTCTAGTAGGCCTGCTTCTACCTATTACACACTTGCAGACACAGATGTTTACGCATATCAATATATATATATATAAATAAACTGCTCAATAGCGAGTCTAAACAAAAGCCTCAATATAAAATTCAGTAATACTATGATCATAAATGTTAAAAGTCAAATACCACATCTAATAGAGCTCAGGCATAGATAATTATCATTAGCAATAAGCCGCTTTTTAAACCTGACTATCATTACAATCTGAAGCTAAGCTGCAGTATAAAGCTTAAGCCACGCTAAAAGAGTGTAAATATCAGCTTATTTATTTGATAACAGTCAACAAACTTCAAAAACAATTATGCAGTGACATTAGCCACAGAGTGGGGGAAACAACTTTGAAAAGCAGTTTGTGCCACTTCGAATTCAAATGTGGCGACAGCACGTGCTGAGCCGTCAAAAGCTTTTTGGCCAAAGCTGTCGTTAAACTCGCGCTGATCATTATTAAAAAGCCGATTTGCAAGTGTGACCCGCCTTTGATTTACGTACATATATACATATATATATATGCATATATATATATATATATAGTGGCCGGTTGTTGTTGCCAAGTTATGTGCAGCGACAGGTGCAGCAGCCCCAGTCACAGCCACAGCTACAGCCAGAGCAGATAAGGCGACAGAGCGACGCACTGTCAGGCGCTGAGCGCATCAAGGGAGCTGCTCTACACATTACATGATGTGTAGCTAAAAATTGGCAACTTGGCAAAAATATCCGCAGACAATTTATAACAAAAATAGAACAACAACAAATGACAACTGAAGTGGCAAGGGGAAAGGGGTGATGGGGGGAGCTCTTCGATCAACGGGCCATGGTATGCGCATATAATTGCGCACTCTTTACGTTCAAGCTGAGCTAAAATTAAGTATTCGCATGTGTAAATGTAAAATTTGTTTTGCTCTTTTATTTTTGGTCAGTTTGCAATGTGTTCGATTTGTATTTGATACGTCGCTGCTCAAGGATTCAGGCAATAAATTCTCAAGACACTTTGAACAGTGCCGCAGCGCTAACCTAACACCCTCTCTCGCGCTCTCTCTTTCTCTCTGTGTTGGTCTTTTGATCGATAGTTATAGATTAGCGTGATTTATGAGCAGTGTCGTCGCTGCTGTTGGCTGAGTTGACAAATCCACACACACACACACACAAAACACTCACACACATGTCAGAATATGTAAATACATTTTAAGCGCAATGCAAATCAAGTGGCAAATAACAAAAAAAAAATAGAAAGAGAAAAAGCGCTTTGAATGTACACAAACAACATCCGTGTTGACTTGTTTAATTGAGCATGAAATGAAGGGATTTCTATGTGTACCCTGTACAGATTGAGATGGGGTATATATAGTAGAACAGGTCACAAGCATGTATTATAAACTGAATACATTTGAAAGTAGAGGTATTTTAGAGTCGTTGACTAGCTGAGTGCTTTCAGATTAAGCGGATTTGCCATGAGTGTGTAGTTGATCTAATGTATTCTATATAAAAGTTAGGGTAGGTCACAAGCTTCCAAGTTAGTTGGAATAATTATATTCCATATTCATGAATGTTTTCAACATTACGCTTAACTCTTTAACGCTTCAGCTGCTGCTAATGAAGCAGATATATATATATATGTATATATAATATAATTAATGATGACTCACATGAATTTTTGTTCAGTATTGTTTAACACATCAATCTATTCGATATAATTTAAATAAATACAGAAATAAGCACCCGATAGAAATCAAAATAAAACTTTTTAGAATTTCTTCTCTTTATATTTTGTAAATTTTCCCACAAATGATGTCCTCAATTTCTGTGATTTCTCTTGCATTAACATTATTATGTAAAAGCATTTTGGTTAGAGTGCATAAATAAATCGGTTAATTATAATTAGACAAGAGACTGTAAAATATTGCGCATTGAACACAACAAAATTCACGACAAGATGCTGCATTCTTCTGCTCTATGCAATTTCACTAATTAAAAATGCATGATTCAAAAATAACAACTACTAAAATAACAACAACAGCAGCAGCTGCTGCTGCACAAAATATGTATAAATATATATATGTATATATATATATAGACATATGTCTGACAATTGCAAAATACTCGATAATTCTGGGCGAGAGTGCAACCCACTTTTAGCTTTGGTTTCTATGCAATTTGCGGCTGACTGCCAAAAAGCAACAACAGCAACAGCAACAGCAACACAGACAACAACAGCCTAAAGAAAGAGCAAGCCAAATACCAGAACCTTAAACCACACGAAAAGTGCACTCGATATTTCATCTTCTCACTTTTTGCTTATGCTTAATACTCGTTCACATTGTTAAAAAGAGTATATTATTGCAGCTTAAGTCTGAACCAATTTGGCATGTAGACTTGTCTAGTGAAGAGTACAGAGTTTTTTGCATATCCAGAGCATGAAAAATCTTGAATTATATGCCGCATAGCAAAAAATATATAATTTATTGATTGAATATTTTCAATAAGAAATATAAATGCTTCTAAAACAGGCCTCGATTATTTGCCTCTTCTATAGATGAACTAAAAAATAATAATAGATGTATAGACACCTCTTGCATGTGTTGCTCGTCGACCAAGCCATATCTCTCACATATACAAGTCTTGCGGCTGGATCGCTCTAGATCTCCTCCACAGAGCCACAAAATAGCATGGCTCACGTATTTTGGTCTGGCAAAGCCGAAAGCTAACCACATTTCATTCAAATTTAACCGCCTTTAGACCATGAACGAGCATTTGGCAGTCATTTCCAGTCGAGTGCAATGCTCCTACTTGTTTTCTATAATTTTCACATTGTCGCTTGGCTGAGTTTTCTTTTTGCGTTGGTTTTTTCGTCATAAATTAATTAGCTGCATCACGACATTGCCTTCAACTCCGGCTTGACTCATTCGACATCTGTTGGCTTTCACACAAAACTGCCAACAATTGCAATTGACTGAATAACAAATACAAAACAAAACGAAACAAAAAGTAATAAGGCCCAGTTAATTAAAGATACAAAATGCTGCAGCTTATTTGTGGCCTTGATCCAGTCATAAATCTGAATATTGACAATTGCCTTTCATTATGCGAATTCTTTCAGT